GAGATTAAGTACGCCCTTGTGTCTTTGGGCAAGAACAAGAATTTTAAAAACACTTTAGAACAGCATCTCTCTATAAAAAAGGAAATGGATGAATTCTGAATAATTCATGAACTAATAATACATGAATTCTGAAGTTCTAGGCATTTCTTCTATAGATTTTAGCCATGAGAGCTTAAAATCTAGGTCTGGTGCCAATCCTTGAGCCAGCTTTAGTTGTATGAAAATTTAAAACAAAAAAAATATAAAGTAGAAAAATAAAGCAGGTTGATAAACCTCTTTAAAGCAGTGTGGTTAGAACAAAAAAGGCAGAAGTCAAGAAGAAACTTCGGTCTGGTCCTGGCACTGCTACTGTAGCTTGGTCACCTGGACTAGCCATTTAATCCTCCAGGGCTCCTTTACTTCACTGATAAAAAGACAAGGTTGAGGAGGCTGGTCTAGATGCCTCTGAGAACTCTTCCACCTCCAAAAAAATAATCACCATTCTAAATACTACTCAGTTTTGTTAAATGCATCTCTGCTCGGCAAACTGTGGATACTTTTCCTTTGTGAATCTTCGTACCAGATACTATGCAACTACATTAAAGTCAAATGTGATCTCTTATTAAGAACAAGTGCTAAAAATAAAAAAGATGAATCTTCTGTCTTGGGTACAAAAAAGAGACTAGAAATGAATCAAGAAGAGACTTTTGTTTCAACATTTCTACAGAATATGGATCACTTTACATCTTGTAGTCAGTTTTAAATTCTCTTCCTTGACCAGGAAACTGCAACAAGTAACAATCAGCAAGAACTCCTCCAGTCTTGGGCTGTATCTGAGAGGGAGCTTGATGCCAAGTGCACAGAGAACCGTCGTCTCTTCTGCTTGCAGGCCCTGAAACTGCAGGAAAGCACCTCAGGTGTCACCCTGACCTGCCCCATCTTCCAGTGACGGCTGAAGGAGCTCACGGACCTGCCATGGAATATTCCACATCAAGGGAAAAGAGGGTGAAGCTAAGTTGGCAAAATGATTTCGATATAATTTTTTTAAGATTTTATTTCTTTGAGGGGCGCCTGGGTGGCTCAGTTGGTTAAGCGACTGCCTTCGGCTCGGGTCATGATCCTGGAGTCCCGGGATCGAGTCCCGCATCGGGCTCCTTGCTCGGCGGGGAGTCTGCTTCTCCCTCTGACCCTCCTCCCTCTCATGCTCTCTGTCTCTCATTCTCTCTGTCTCAAATAAATAAAAATAAAAATTAAAAAAAAAAAAAAAAAAAAGATTTTATTTCTTTGAGAGAAGAGAGCAAGCGTGAACGGGAAGGGGCCGAGGCGGAGGGAGAAAGAATCTGAAGCAGACTCCAAAATGAGTCGAAACCAAGAGTCAGACGCTTAACCAACTGCGCCACCCAGGCGCCTCTCAATATAATTTAAGTGAAAAAAGCTAGATACAAAAACTATACAAATGCTAGGGCCACAGCGATAATAAGTTTCGTCGGTGAAACGAACATAGAACAAAATTTTAATAGTGATTCGTGTCATGTGGTGGGACTATTCCCCCTTTTCTCTGCCTAAATTTTCTGTAATTTTTTTGATATTTAAACTGTTTTAAAATTGACCACTGAAGAAAAAAAATTTAGCATATCTCATTCTAATTTACATTATTCCCAGCACTTAGTAAAATAACTGATCTTCCACACTGCTTTTTCTGTTTTTATCTAGAATTTTCTCAGGTCAGAATTTAAAATATTTTGGCTACCCACATTACACATCTGTTTCTAAATATCTCGGGTAAAGAGCTCAGAAATCAAGCTGGCAGAGATCAGGTCATTTTGTAAGATGTATTTTTCAAACAAAAAGAGGACTTTGGGCTGGCTTTCGCAAGCTCCCAAACTCTCCCTGGGCAGGATCCGACAGGCAACACTTATTCCCGGTTCCCACTTTCCCCCACCTTCCTTAACCTTAGCAGGCTATCAGCATCCCTTTCCGTGCAGGGCTGGACGGTTAGTATCTTCACCTTTACAGGCCATACGGCCTCTGTCGCTGCTACTCAACTGCAATTTAGCACAAAAGCAGCCACGGATGCGGGCGCCTGGCTGGCTCAGCGTGGTGAGGCCCCCAACTCTTGGTTTCGGCTCGGGTCGTGAGATCCAGCCCCACTTCAGGCTCAGAGCTCAGTCAGGGGTTGGCTTGACATTCTCTCTCTCCTTCTCCCACTGCTCGCCTCCCCACCTTGCCCCACACGCACGCTCTCTCTCAAGTAAATAAATCTTAAAACAAAAAAACAAAAGCAGCCACAGACGCTACATAAATGAATGAGCGTGGCTGTGTTCCAGTAAAACTATTTTTTACAAAAACAGGCAGGGGGCCAGATTTGGCCTGTGTGCAATCATTTGCCAACCTGTGGTCTACAGCACACTGGAGAGCATCCATGGGGCTCAGAGGGATGGAGAAAAGACCTGAAGGACTACTTGCTCCTTCTAAGGAATGGCTGTCAAACCTTTTCACAGCCACACCAATCTACCAGAATTCTCTTTGAAAGTGGTACTGATGAATTTTTCCCCCAGAAGTCACAGAATTGGTTCCTCAAATATAGCAGTTCTCAACCACGATACCTACAGAATAATACCTATAGAATATTTTGCAATTAATTTACTATTAATAATACAGTACTGGTTTTTCAAATGATTTTTTAAAAAACATTTATAAAACAGGAAGCAGTCGATCAGTCTTCTCCCAACAGCCAGCCTGGCCCGTACACAATCCTGGGCGTGTCTGCGGTAGCTAAGGGCTCGTGTACACACTTTTAGCCTGTGTATGTTTGCATCAGAAGGAGCCTTACGGGGCGCTGCATCCAGCCCCTCTCCATCTTAAGATAACCACCCCATTCTCTAGCTAACAACTCAAACAGGTCAGGTTTGGATCAGTTATAGTCTTAACTAATATCCATCAAAGCATACACGAAGTCAAACAAGAGGAAATGGGAGATAGCCAAGAAGGGCAAGAGGAAATGTGATAAGGCCTCCTACAAGCTGAATAATTTGCTCACATACTCTTCTTTTTATAAATTTCCATTGTCGTTCATCTTAGAAAAATTGGACAATGCATGAAAGTAAAAAGAAAAATTAAAGCCCCAATACCATCATGAGGCAATACTATTGTTATCATTTTAGTTCCTTTTGCTCCAAATTATTTTTCTGTGTCTATTAGGGGAAAAAAAAAGATGTTTTTGATAAAACTGCTTTTTACTCTCTTCATTATTATGTCATGAGCTCTTCCCTATATAGTTTAATATGGCTCAAAAATGTGATTTTTGTAATGTCTATATTAAAAGTCCATCAAATGGATGGACCATATTTTATTTAAATTCTCCCCTGTTGTCGGGTATTTATATCATCTCCCTATTTTTTAGAATACATTAGAGGTTGAAAATAATCCTATGGAAGTTTACAACACTATTTACATATAATATTTTCTATTTATGTATTTGACAGCAGATATTCCCTAGAACAGAGTAATGTCTGAGGCCCTCCAGATCAAGGCACATCAGAGTACGTTAGTGACCACAGGAAGAGGCATACAACCCAGGATGAGACATGGGGGCACTGGACCCATGCACAGGAAAACTGGCCATCTGAGTCCTTGCACTTCTTTACTAAGGGCAGGTTAGGTGGTAGAGTCAATCAACGTTGGAACTGTGGTCCACGTGAGATACTGTCACGAGACTGAGCCTCGTCTGCTCTCTCTGCAAAACCCAACAGAGGAAAACTGTTTTGCCTTGAGTGCTATTATTAAAACTGTGTAGGAGAAAGGAGGTTAAAAAGCTTGTGGCCCATGTTTTGTTTATAGCATATAGTAAATTTGTGGGACATTTCTTTTGAAATAGAAGGTCAACTAATTGGTCTTTCTCCCATGGGTGCCTGGAGGAGGGCTCTCTGCTGAGTGTTTTCTCTGCAGGGCATCATGGGCAGAATGTCATTAACGAACAGAAGTGGATGTCAGCCTGGCAGCATCAACAGCATGGAACGCTTCTACAAGTGGCTAGGGGCTCGGAAACCTCTAGAGCCTTTAGCGGTAGGTAGAACCCAAATATATTTCCCTTAATCTAGCTGCCAGTCAGAAAATTCAGACAAATGAATAATCTAGTTCATGTAATTTATAATGCTGGAAATCTTCCCTCCTAGAATAAATTGTCTGCTCTTAATTAAGCCAAAGGAAGAGGGATATAAGATAACTTAGCGGAGGGAGGGAGTTTTAAGTGTCCTCTCGAGTTACACATAAAAAACGCTCCAGTTCAGATTCCAGTTTCCATATTGAAAGATACGAGGTAAAAGGAACACATGTGTATTTTAGAAAATATAAAAAACACAGCAAAATTAAGGCTGAGCCAGTCAAGGTAATGCAACAATGTTATTCTTTTACTTAAAGATGGGAAAAGGAACATTTCTGATTAAAATTTAAATCTCACATTGTATTTACCTAGGGGATTTTTAGAAATTACTTTTCAAACCTAATTTTCCCAGAATTATCTGGGATATAATTCACATTTTAAGTGGAATAACAAAAGCAAGCACAAGGTGGTAAGGACAACTTTCTCCACACCAGCCCCACCCCATCTTCTGTACCTTTCTGACAAAGAGCTGCGCACGAACAGGACATGGACTCTTCGCTTTGTGTCTCTGCCACAAGAACTTTGGATATGCAAACAGAAAAGGACCAGGACTACAGATATGTCTCTCAACACCACAGGAGGAATCAAGTTACATGTGAATTGGTCAAATGTGCACAGAAATCACTGTCACCTCTTACTCCAAACACTGGAAAGAGCTGGAGTCAATGCTTCAGGACAATGGCACTAGGGGGCCAACAAAGCCATGCGAGATAAACACTAAAATGTCAAATCCCACAGAGTTATTAGTCACAGTATCTGATCACAACCAAGGCCTACAGGCCTGTATGGAAGTGTCTGTTTTTCAAGACCTAAGTCAACTTTACTGGAAAGTGGTGGGGAGGACACAGCATGCACTTACCTTACCAGTGCATCTGGTTTGCTTAGCTGGTTATTAGGAATACAGTTTTCCATTAAGTCCTTGTGTGTACTTGGGCTCTTGCTCGGGCATTTTTGCTTCTTCTCATTTTTACTAGATGAGGAAGGAATGCTCCCATTTGTGGCGCTATGACTGCGAGGTGAGGAGTTCACAACTCCACTGGCATTTTTGTAATTTTTTGAGGAAGCAGTGCATGAGTCCTCTTTCAAGAGATTTTCTGTACTTCCCACAAGATCATTATTTAATCTTTTACTATTGATATGGTTTTCCATATACTCAATTTCTTGTATTTTCGAGTCTACAGGTTGTAGAATATTGTTGTTGTTTATTCCAAGGTTGTGTTTTTTGGCATCCTTGTCCTTTTCTTTCCCTTTTTCTCGGTATTCTATCTCTGGCAAAGTTGTGGAGAGTTTTTTGTTGGCTGGGATACCTCCGTTGTGGTGTATAAGGATCGAGGAATCCATATCAGGCAATCCTTTGGCTGCTACAATACCAAAAACAAACCAACAAACAAAAAAACCCACACCGGAATATTTAGTTGTATAAAAACACAGCACAGATTGATTCAACAAACTGCATTATCTACACTTAGAGACTCACTATATCAATTTGCAAACTCATTGAGAAGCAATAACCACACCACATTATGCTAACTTCAAGAAGCAAATCCAGATAAATTTGAGAAGCTGCCCATTTAGAAAATCACCATCATTTATAAACACCAAGCCATTATAGTTTGTGCCTTGAAAAGAAGATGAGGCTTTTTTATAATTAAATCATACTTATCAGTCAAATCAAACTTTATCACTGGGATGAAGAAAGAGCACACAGGCAGGTCAGACTCTTAAGTGGCCATATTTTAAGAGATGCTAACCAAACTGTTAATAACTTTACTGAAAAAACAGCAATTAAATGAAACAAAAGAAAGGTGTGATGTTAGGATATAGGGCATTATCCTTTTCTTGACTCTAGCATTAAGGTAATAAAAAGTCTGTGTCATTTACTAGACCACTCGAAAAGAATTTTCTGTATGAGGTCTACACAGTCCAGTTTGTCCAAGTCTACTTGAAGAGATTTTTGAACCATACCAGAGAATAAGATTTTGGTATATATGAACTAAAAACATGACTCCAAACTTCCAACTCTCAAATCAAAGAAAACTGATACTGCTGTCAATTCATCTACTGAATTGGACATATGCTCATTAGAGAGATCCTGTTAGAAAAAGTTCACTTTAAGATCCACATTGCATTATATGAGCCATTTAAAATGGGACCTACCTACCTTTGCTCTATTCAGAAGAATTTTAACTTATAAAACAATTGTTTCTGTCTACCTCTCGATCTTGCTTATACTTTGGTTCTTGGCTTGCCTCAACTACAAAGTCACAGAGTTATATATACATTGCTACTGAGAACAAATATTTTAAAATATTTATAACAGATAAAGTATTGAAATATAAAATAAGCTATAAAAATAAAATATATAAAAATAATAAAATAAACATAGTAAAAGCACATGGTCTTCAGACACGAGGTAGAAAACCCCCACACCCTGTATTTCATGACCAAACAAAGCAATGGCCCTGAAAGGGAACACCAGAAAACAGGAAAATCCTTGGTCATCTTCCAAAGTCCTACCAACGCTGCCAGGGGAAAAAAAAATTCTACTGATAGCAACAAAATAATGACTAATCTACCCAGCCAACACAACTTTAGGGTAAAGACCTACCTTCCTCGGCCTCTTTTTCTTGCTTCTGTAGCATCTGTTGCTCTGGGGGGAGAGCTTGTTGAAGAAGCTGCATGTAAAATTCGTTCTCTTTTTGCACTTCCTTCTGCTTCCTTAACCGCATTTTGTAGCTTACATAACTTTTGAAGCCAAAGCCCAAAGTCACCACAGGGTACCCAATGCTAGAAAGAAGAAAATCTAGCCAGTTATTGTCAGTAAAAAACAAACAACACATGCATCAAACACATGAGGACATCTAGGACTGAAATTAAGAAATAAATTCTAGATGATAATGGTATTAGAGCACTTAGTAAACACATAAATATATGGGATGTCTGCTGTGGAAATGAGAGGCAGCCGGCACACAGAACACACCCCCAGGGAGCAGCAGGACTGCTAGACCATGAGAGGCTGCCCACCAGACTCCAGCATTCTTCAAACCAACTCAAGAACTTAACCCAGTGACTGCTGGATACAGCGGCTAATGTCTTTGATTAACACCAAAGTCCCTTGTGCATTATTAGAACTTGGCCATCTGTATGCTTTTAAGAACTAACAGGGTGGAGATTTTATGAGTGGGTAAAAGTAAACACTGTAAGTGTTAGAAAATCAAAACGGACACATATTCATTTTTAATACCACAGCCAGGGTCAAATTCAGGTGACTACTTTATTCTTGCTGCCTGAGGGGTATTGTCAACCAGCTGTTCCTGAAAAATCAGTTCATAAATACTCTGTCATACATAAATTCAAGAATCATTTAAATGAGGATTGATATTATCAGTGCCAATATTTGTTTTGTAGTACCAAGTTAAACCAGCTGCACTTGTAACTCTAACCTCTGGGATAAAAAGTTGAAATATTTTCATTCAACTCATCAGTCTGTCTAATATCATTTCAAAGCCTCTGCAAACACTGTCAAAACTCATATTCAGCTTCATTAACATTCAAACTTATAAATTATAATTAGTCTAAATGTGATCCCACTACAAATTTAAAGTGACAAGTTTTATTGACCAAGTTTACTTAATTCACTTGCTTGTGAAAAGACTTTAAAATATTGGAAACTATATCTTTTTAGTTGATACCTGTTTATTTTGGTTTCTGCCATAAATATTAGCAAAAATTAAGTCAGTTCATTTAAGCTTCATGAAATAGCCATACATTTCATTAAGGCATTTTAGAATCATTATCTGATTATAATAAAAATAGATAACATTTATCAGACACCTTTGTGCTTGAAATTAAGTTAAATACTTTACATATATCCCCACATTTCCTCTTTCCCATGACCCTACAAGACAGGTCCCTAATACACAGGTGAGACAGCTAAGGCTTAGAGAGGGTGACAGGCCCAAGGCAACAATGCTGTTAGGGGAAAGAGCTGGGGTTCAAACACTCATCTGCCTGAATAGAGGGCTCATGCTCTTTACCACTATGTTATGTTGTCTTCCGGGTTCATGTAAAATCTCTAAAAACAAAATTTATAATTGAACTTACCATTCTACATTGAACTGAATTATAGATTAAGAATACACATAATACTCACCAGTGAGCAGCAAATGGACGACAAAGGTCTACATGAAAATTTTTGAGATCTTTAAATCTAATTGCTGCTTCAATATAAACAAAGAGTATCCAGAGGGACACTGTGGGCAAACACACTCCCCTTTCTGTGGGAAAGCAGCAGAGAGTAAAGCATCAGTGATACATTAAACTAACATAACAGATGGGTTGTTTGGGAGACTAGTTCAACTACAGTAACTTTCTTATTTTTTTTTTGAGTATAGTTGACACACAATGTTACATTAGTTTCATGTGTACAACATAGTGATTCAACTTCCCTATATGTTATGTTGTGCTCACCACAAGTAGTTACCATCTGTCACCACACAACCCTATTACAATATCACTGACTATATTCCTTATGCTATGCCTTTTATTCCCGTGACTTACTCATTCCATAACTGGAATCCTGTACCTCCCTCCCCTTCACCCATGTTGCCCCCCCTCCAATGCTCCTTCCCTCTGGCGACCATCACTTTGTTCTCTCAACTACAGCAACTTTCATTAAGACTTCAAACTAATTAAAAAGCAATATGGTTCAGGGGCACGTGGGCAGCTCAGTCAGTTAAGTGTCCGACTCTTGATTTTGGCTCAGGTAATGATCTCAGGGCCGTGAGATCAAACCCCATGTCGGGCTCTGCGCTCAGCAGTGTCTGGTTGAGATTCTCTCTCCCTCTCCCTCTACCCCCCTCCCCACACTCTAGCTCATGCTCTCTCTCAAAATAAATAAATATATCTTTAAAAATAAAAAGGAATATGATCCAAACTGAAAGCTTTTATATGACAAAAGATGTGATGGAATCATAGACAAAAATAAAAGACAAACATTCTGGCAAAAAATATTTACAATATGTAAAAGAAAGGAGTCACAGCCCTACCATACAAAGAGCTCCTACAAATCAATAAAAAGACAACTGAAGAAAAGAATTTGCAAATTATAAAAGAAAAATATAGATGGCTAAAAAAACATATGAAAAGATGCTCAACTTCACCACTGATTAGGGAGACACAAATGTTTCAAAAATGAGATTCCATTTTTTTTTAACCTACCAGATAAGCAAAATTTAAAAGACAGGTAATATAGGGAGGGTAAGGCAAAGGGTTCGTTCTCATACTTGGCAAAAATATAAATTGGGGCAACATTTTTAGAAAGCAGTTTGTCAGTATAATTAAATTTAAAATATTATACATTTGACCCAGAAATTCCAATTCCAGGAATCTACCCTATAGAAATATTTTAAAAAAGCCCTGGAATAAATGTATAAGAATATTCACTATATTATTATTTGCAATAGCAAAAAATGTAGAATTATTTTAAATGTGTATCAACAGAGAACTGTTTATGATAAATCTATATAATAAAAGATGCAGCTTTTCAAAAGAATGATCTGTACTAACATGTAAAAAAAAATAAATTCTGAAGAATGAGTTATTGCACAAAGAAATGTTTCTGACATTTAAGTTCTGTTCTACAATTTTTTTTTAAAAGATTTTATTTATTTATTTGAGAGAGAGAGAGACAGAGACAGAGAGAGCACAAGCAGGGGGAGAGGCAGAGGGAGAGGGAGAAGCAGACTCCTCGCTGACCCGGGAGACAGACAGACAGACGAGGGGCTCAATCCCAGGACCTGGAGATCATGATCTGAGCCAAAGGCAGACGCTTAACCATCTGAGCCACCCAGGCACCCCTGTTCTACAATTTTTTTTTCTTAACTACAAGATTATATTTCTTTTATAATTAAAAACAATTTTGGGGAGTGCCCAGGTGGTTCAGTCAGTTAAGCATCTGCCTTTGGCCCAGGTCATGACCCCAAGGTCCTGGGATGGAGCCCTGCATCACGCTCCCTGCTCAGTGAGGAGCCTGCTTCTCTCTCTGTCTGCCGCTCCCCCTGCTTGTGCGCGTTCTCTCTCTCTCTGACAAATAAAATCTTTTTTAAAAAATAAACAATAAAAACAATTTTCAAGGGAGTAAAAAGCAACTTGCAATAGAATAAATAAGATACAAATAATGAGGTAATTTTCATTGATTTTTAAAATCAAAATCTGCAGGCTAGGTTTATCTATGTCAGGACATGATTAATAATGGGATTTTTTTTTTTTTTTAATGAAGATGGACTACATAGGCATGAGGTCCAATAACTCTGGAAAGAGCTCCTTTGAGACTATTTAAGGCAAGCGAGTTATAGAAGAGATAACAGAGAGTCAGGGGAGGGAAATCAGTGATCTGAAGGACTAAATAGCTTTTTACTAAGGATCTTTGGGATGAAACAAAAGAAAAATCATAGCATCTTGGAACTACAAAGATCATTTAGTCCAACCTCCTTATCATACTGAAGAGTAAAGTAAGGCCCAGAGTGTATACAAATTGGGTCCAAGTTCACAGAGATAATCCTGGGTCTGCTCCTAAGAAGAACTTAAATCCCCTTAGACCTAGTCCATGCAGTAAGAAAACGCTAAAAGCTCTGTGAAGGCAGCAAATGGCCTCAACCATTCTTATAGATTTAACATACAAAAAAAGGGGCATTTTCACAGTGTACGAAGACAAATAGCAACTCTTAGAATAATGCATTTTCAAATTCACTGCAAAATGCATTTTCAAAAATTTATATTCTCTAACTCCCTATATTAATTTCTGAAGTTATCATATACGTAATCACATTACAGAAAAAAATAGAAATTTTTGGACAAAATACCTGTATTTCTACACTTATCAAATAATAAAATTACGTTGAAAATATTTTTGAGCAAGTGAGTCATGTTGTACATACAGTTTTGTATTCTGTTTTTTTCCCTCTTAACAGCAAGGAAGTTTATGATATAATCATTCTTTTGTGGCAATACATAATTGCATCAACGATTCCTAATAAACTTAAGAATTTTAAATTTTAACAAATGATAAGAGAAATTATTCCCAAGTTATATAAACTGTACTTAGATCTCTTCGGCCCAAAAGGAATACAAAGTTTGCTTTGTTTTGTTTATTTGAATATTAATCATTCCAAATTAAAACATACTTCACAACTTAGCTATTCCAACATTTCTGAGCCTAGGGCTAAAGAGAGGCCAGTATCACTTATGATATTCGCTTCACTGCTGCTCTGTGGGTCACCCACTGAACTCATTCCCAGTAGGTTCTGTTAGTAGTTATAGGAGTTGTTTTTTCCAAACTACTACGACATTATTAAAGTAATTTAGGAAATCATTATAGTTCATCAGAGTCATGGATTGTTAAGCTGGAAGGCTCCCCTAAACATTATCTAGATTATTCCACCATCTTATGACAAAGAAGAAACTGATGGGGTGCCTGGGTGGCTCAGTAGGTTAGGCAGCCGACTCTTTATTTGGGCTCAGGTCATGATCTCAGGGTCGTGGGATCCAGCCCTGTGTCAGTCTCCTTGCTCAGCAGGGAGTCTGCTGGAGATCCTCTCTCTCCCTCTGCCCCTCGCCCACAAATAAATAAATAAATCTTAAAAAAAAAGAAGAAACTGAGACCTAGACAGAATGACAAGTGTAAATGGCAACTCACTTGAAACTAAGACCCAGGACAAGAAAATACAAGGAAAAACTAAAGTATGAAAAAATCACTTTAATTAGAGGAAAGCAGACTGAGGAACTGTCGTGTTAGCTTTAGGAAGAAGGGAGAGGACTGTGTGGCTCCACTCTAGTCAGAACGTACCAGAAACAGCACGTTTTGGTGAAGAGAACCACTAAAGAACTAGGGAGATCAGGATGGTGAAAGTGCTTCAAATAACATATAAAGAAAAGCTGATGAAACCAGAGATGTTGTGCCTACAGACAAGAAGGCCTGAGAGGATATGACAGTGTCTTTAAATCTCTACAAAAATGTTAACCATGGATGGGAGACCACACTCCTTTCGTGTGGCTCCAATGCAGGCATGCAGTGTTGGGGCTTGAGGGGATGGTCTGTAGACCCCTTGAATCTGAAGGCAAAGTGTTGTACACTTCCCTACGCTTGTGGGGGAAAGCCTCCTTATATCCTCTAAGAGATAAACAAACCCCAAAACAGTCAAGATGTACTGGGTCAAAAGTGTAAGGAGGAAAATTCTGGCTCAGTATCAGGAAGAACTTTCTATTACAGCTGCCCCAAAAGCTGAGTTCCTTGTCACTGTGGCCTTTCAATCAGAGACTAAACCACTATGTGTCAGGGATGCTGTGGGGATTCTTATACCAAATAAGGGTTCAACAAAATGACCTCAGACATTCCTTTCAAAGCTGAAACTCCAGGAACATTTTTCCTATGTGGAACATCGCTGTCTACGAGTCTACCTAAACATAAATCATTTCAACTTAAAAAAAAAACAAAACAACTTCATAATGAGAATTGGTCATTGAGATGCCTACAATTGAGATGTCAAATCATAAAGACTTAAACTTTTCATTTAATAATGAAAAAAATATAAAATATATTTTAGAGGTATAATCTATTAGGAAAAGGCCACTTAAAAATGTCCACATGGGGGGCACCTGGGTGGCTCAGTTGGTTGGGCCTCTGCCTTAAGCTCAAGTCATGATCCTGGAGTCCGGGGATCGGCCCCTGCATTGGGCTCCCTGCTCAGTGGGGAGTCTGCTTCTCCCTCTGACTCTCCCCCCTCTCATACTCTCTCTCCACTCTCTCTCTCAAATAAATAAATAAAATCTTTAAAAAAGAAAAAATGTCCACATGAGCACCTGGGTGGCTCAGTCGGTTAAGCATCTGCCTTCAGCTCAGGTCATGATCCCAGGGTCCTGGGATTAAGTCCCGCATCAGGCTCCCAGCTCAGCGGGGAGTTTTAGTCTCCCTCTGCCCCTCCCCCCACCCTGCTCGTGCTCTCTCTCTCTCTCCCTCTCTTTCTCTCTCGTGTGTGCATGCGCACGCAAAAATAAATAAATCTTTAAAAAAATGTCCAAATTACGGGCACCTGGGTGGCTCAGATGGTTAAGCGTCTGCCTTCGGCTCAGGTCATGATCCCAGGGTCCTGGGATCGAGTCCCACATCGGGCTCCCTGCTCAGCAGAGAGCCTGCTTCTCCCTCTGCCTCTCTCTCTCTCTCTCTCTGTCTCTCATGAATAAATAAATAAAATCTTTAAAAAAATGTCCAAATTAAACTCAACTCTAAATAATGTAGTCAAAGAAATCACTAGATTAAAAAAGTTTGAATCCAAGATTTCTATCCATCTAAGAAGCCATTAAGACTTACCTGTGTGCCATACATACTGAACCCATACATATGTGCTAGCAGCAAAAAAAAGCCATTGTATGGGGATGAACAGCAGACATATTATATTTGATGTGAAAGCTACACAAACAAAAAATACTGAGAAGGCCTAAAGGAAAAAACAAAACAAAATTAAAAACTCATCTTAGAACTTGTTATTTTCAAACGGATTATTAAAAGCATGTTGAACAAAATCTCTGAAACTGACATGCAAGAACTGTAGAGCAAGTGACAACAGGGAATTTTAAACATATAAAAACCACTATGTAAAAAGTAGAGGTTAATTCAATATTAAAAAGTAATCCTATTTATGTCCTCAAATCAAGAAGAACTGGACCAGAACAAGCTGAGTTGGGTCCCAATGAGTTCATTTGGACTCCGCAGGTGGGTTACCTAAAACTAGAATTTTAACACAGAAAGGGTTCCTCTCTCCTCTTAAACCATTCCTAAAGAGCCTCATTCTTTTTTTTTTAAATTTTTTATTGTTATGTTAATCCCCATACATTACATCATTAGTTTTAGATGTAGTGTTCCATGATTCATTGTTATTGTGCATAACACCCAGTGCTCCATGCAGAACGTGCCCTCCTCAATACCCATCACCAGGCTAACCCATCCTCCCACCCCCCTCCCCTCTAGAACCCTCAGTTTGTTTTTCAGAGTCCATAGTAAGAGCCTCATTCTTGAAGAACCGGCTGTTGGAGCACAAATGAACCATGATAGTAAGAATTATGCTGATGTTAAGGATTTAAATAATGCAGCCTTTCTCTGGACACACCACTAGGTATTCCCAAGAGGACATGAGCCCGAAGCCATCTTTTTGAGGCTCTGGATTTCTGAGTGGAAGAGTTCCAGGTATAAGGTGTAGCCAGAGGACACAAGAGAACTGCAGATCAACCAGGGGAACAAGCCCAGGCCTATGCCCTTGCTCTAACCCAGTAGTTTTCAAAACATAGTTTGAGGATCCCCAGGGTCAGTGGGGCGGTGGGGTGTCTCTGAGATCCTTTCAGTGGGTCTTCCAGGTCAACACCATTTTCCTAACAATATTAAGATGGCATCTGCCTTTTTCATGCTCATTCACTTAGGATTAAGGTGGCTTTTTCGAGAAGCTACATGATACGTGATATTGCAATCCACTGAGTTCAGACGCAGATATGAAAATGCAGCTGCCTTCCATTAAGCCAGACATTAAAGACATTTGCAAAAATGTAGTCAATCTTCTAATTTTTTTGTTTTGGAAAATATATTTTTCATTTAAAAATGTAATTTACATTAACATGTAATGGGCTTGTTATTATTTTTAAGTGAATTAATAAGCATTTAAATTTGTTTTCAGTTTTGATTTCTAATATAGTAAATACGGATAGATCTAACCCAGATAAATAAAAGCTCCTCGGAATCCTCAGTAGTTTTTAAGAGTTTAGCGGGGCCCTGAGACCACAAAGTTTGAGAACCACTGCTCTAACTCTAACCCAATCACTAACGTGGTGATAGGGCTCCAGAAATACTTCAGAGTAGGACTGAATAATTATTGCTTCCTTCACTACTCTGTTTCCCTCCCAAGGTCTTTGTCCCTCCCCTTCTTTTCACTGGAATGGTAGAGAAGAGTGGGTGAGGTATAATGATTTGATAGTGGGTTTTTTTATCATCAGTTACTGAAGACTTTCTTAGAAAATTAAACCCCTTAGACTTGAAAAACATATTAATAAACATACCAGTCCCTGGTATCTGAAGGAATCATAGACGCTCCTGATGAAAAGCCAAAACGGCCACAGGTATTCAAATCTGAACTCCAGGACAAAATCTGCCAGGAGGACAAGTGCCCACACTACCAGGAATTTCAGGTATAAAAATGTACTGCAAAGCATAAAAACAGAGAATTAATTGAAGGTCACTGGTGAAGCACTAGAAAAAGAAAATGCACTGCTTTAAGAGACAAAAATATCTTCACATACCATGAAAATAACGGTGATAAAGGACAGAGGGAGATGTTGCTACGACCCACCTAAATTTTAAAAGCTCTTCCATTCACTCCGAGACCCACACCTATCAAAGTAAGATGATGACCAAAAATGCTTAATTCTAAGATGGAAAAAAATTTTACATTTCACCACTATTTTAAAATGTGCTAAGTGTCTGATTTAAAATACTGTAACACTCTAAAAATTACAGCTTTCCAGCTCTTCTTCATTAGAAGAAAATGTCATGGTTGAAAGCCTTCGAATTTGCTGTTTGCCCACCCCTCTACATCTGTTTGAAGAGTCTTTGAAATTCTTGATGCACATCCCTACATGCTTGAAGGATTCTGTCTTTTTCCCTCTTTTCTCCTCTTGCCTTTCTGTGTGGTATTCACCTGTATTAACCAAAGGACATCCCCAAATAGAAACTAACGTAGGGAGCAGTTGCCAATTACTACTATGGGTTGGGAGAACACAAAATGTACATTAAAGAAAAAAATCCTAAAGTATCCTAGCCCTGCTCTAGCTAAGATGTAAATGTGTGCTTCCAGCTCCCTCTGGATTTATGTTAAGTAGAAGCAGACTTTGATAAGCCAGGCAGGACACATATTTAACCACTGCAGTAGCTCAAAACAAGGTAAGGACATGGATTAAAATCTCAAAGTCCATTCTTCTAGTTCATGAGTTGTACAATAGATAATAGAAGCCTTCAGATTAATAAGCCCCTTACTAATAAGCCCCTAATTCTGTCCTTAACGCAGTCAATTCTGGAGTAGGTTAAGTTTAGGCATTAAAAAAAAAAAAAAGGTTTTCTTAGATATAGATTGGAAATACCTAAAATCTACTTTGATTTGGGCCAGAGCCTTGTATGCTGCTTTGTAATACAAACATTCCAATATTGATGTGATTACATTAGCTGTTTGAATATACACCATCAACAACAAAATCAAGACTTTAATAAATCATTTTTAAGTATATTAAAATAAGCTACAAAAAAATTATAAACTTGGGGGGGGCGGCAGACAACAAAAGCAAGATCCAGCACTGAGGATTCTTTCTGTGCCCTCTGAAGCCACAAGGGTAAAAAGATGTCAAGAACGGACAGGTATGACCCTCGATGATACAGTAGCATAATGAGACATTATCTGCAGGTAGGGGCAATTTCTAATACTAACTCTTGGTAGAACTTCTTCGGGCTTGATAATAAGTTTCGATTAAGAGGTTTGCTATACAATCAAGGAACCCAAGGCAAACCAGAAGAAAACAGGCAAGTCCCACCTTTTAGTTTCATTTCACTAGAATCATATTAGCCAGATGAAGATGGGGCCCTCGTTCTCACCCATTAAAAATCCATCACTGACCCAGTGGAGAGCAAGGCATATTTTACTAGCAGGAACAGCTGAGTCATGTCGGCATTCGGGAACACAAATCTAGTTTCAAACTAGATTTTCAAGCTGCTTGGCTTTAAAACTGAAAGGTTTTTCCTTGTCTCTAGAACTGTTTCTAGGCACATATGGAAATGTTTCTACCTCTCCAATGAACACTTTTCCCCATGGGGCTGCCTCTGGATGAGGTGAATGAGATGCGGGGAGTATATCATGGTGTGCAGTCATCACCACTCCCCAGGTGGAGAAGGTAGAGTACTACCAACTGTCTCTGCCCCAAATGCTCCCAAGGCATGGCAGGATCCCAGTCTAGCAGGCAATGTTCTGTTGCACTATTTAGATAGCATTATCCAAAGAATGACAGCCTACTGAATAGCTTTTAATAGCCCAATCATTTAAACCAAAGGCAATACAGAAATGATCATCTTTGTAACAATGACTACTCTTTTTCAAGTCTGTGACTTCAAGAGAGTTCCTTTTTATATATTTCAGTTCTTTTCAAAAAAACTGCTCTCGTACTTTCATGTTCCTTGACACCCAGCTCTTACTGAGTCACAGTTTAGAAGTACAGATATCCAAGGAAACTTGACCTTTCACAAACATATGCCATACCCTCAACTTTCCTCAGGCTCCCCTTTTAGGTGGGCCTGCCTCTAAAAATCAAGAGGCAACCTAATTAACAAATTAGATTTTACAAGTTTTGCAAAAAGAGTTCTAGAGCTTAGTCGCACAATCATGCGAATATATGTATTATTCCTGAACTGTACACTTAAAAATGGCTAAGATGCTGAATTTTACATTATGTGTTTGACCACACTTTTAAATATAAATAAATAAATAATTCTTTACTCATCTTTTAAAAAAAAGTTGATTTTACTTTAGGACTAGTGCTGAATTCTATTGATTCATTTCTGCCTTCAGGGTTTTAGAAAGTTTAAGACAGTTGCCTGATTCAGTATTCACTTAGTCCTCTGTAGCAGTAACTTATGCTTATTATTCTTTTATAGGTACATGTAAAAAAGTTAAAAGACAAGTAACCTAAAATGACTGCTTATCAGTACCCTAATTCCTTTCCTTCCATGTTCTGAAGGTCATAAGATTTTGCCAAATCCAAAGAGATGGCATTCTACTGGGGAGAGAAAGTTAGGTTTTAAGCCATTATAGCATTCCAAAATATTTCTTTTAAACCATGAAGAGAATGTGATCAAATATAAAATATTTTTATACATACAGTTCACAACATGGTTCATAACTTGATGTTACTTTCTCTGATCCAAACACATTTATGAATAACTATAAAATATCTTGAACAAAAATTTAAAGCGTAACTACAATGAAAAGGTATTTTCCATAGTAATATAATCGAACAAGGGCAGACCAATAATGTCTTTTGATGGTCTTATAAGCTTCTGTTCTGGATGCCAGTGAAATTAAGAAGAGACATGTGTGATTATTAGGCTTAATGGTGGTGATTCTTTCAAAGGGGTTATTAACTATAAGTTTCTTTCCCCTCCTCCATTCTATTCCTACCCTTGACATTTCCAACCATTTTTAACCTGAATCTATTTGGCAATACTCTTCACCTATGGATTAATGATTAATCATCTATGATTAATGATAAGTAGTATTGAACATTTTTCTTTTTCCAAGTAAAGTGCACCTTCTTTCTAGTACCACTAGCTGCTATCATGTAGATCATTTTTGGAGCCTACATAATTACCGTGAGTGTGGCCATCAATCCTCAGTACCTGACCTTTTCCCTAGGCAGACTAATAATGGCCATTTAGTTCACTTGGTCCTCACCACAGAAATGACTCTGTAGAAGATTTCACTGGATGTGCTAGTGGCCATCTATCTCAATCCCTAGCTTTCCTGTCTTCTCTGGAATAGCAACTGTGAATTGCTTTTAGCTTTCAGTATGTGGCATGATACTTCTTAAACCAAACTGCTGTCTTCTCTGTTATCAAATACCTCTCCCTACTCCACATCACCTCTAGAATATTCATCCAGCCTCTTGTCCAGCCCATACTCCTACTGAAATCAGATTATGTGTAATTATAGTCCTGCTACTCCAAGTGTGGTCCATGGACCAGCATCATCAGCATCACTATGAGCTTTTTAGAACAACAGTATTTCAGGGCCCATCCCAGACCTATTTCATCTAAGCCTGCATTTTCACTGGATCCCTAGACCATCTGTCTGTACATTAAAACTTGAGAAGTACTGGCCCATGGTATAAACTTCTCATTGTCATGGAACCTCCACTGAATTCCACAGTGTCTCAGAAATTAAACAACTATCTACTTAAATAATCAATACTTATCTCCAAACCCTTAGTTCTCCTTCCCTCAATTGGGAACCCTGTTCAGGGTTGATTCTTCCATTTTCTTACCTTTCTATCTGAGTCACAGACAAGATCCCCACCTCAGTACAATTTAACCTAATGAAGCACTTCTGCTACTACACCCATCCTTCAACACACAACACAGACATCACATCATTAAAGAAGGCCTCCCTGATCCCAAAGTAAAGACTGTCACCCCATTATATGCTCACATAGCATCCTGTACTGTAAGAACATTTAATCACGGTTATAAATAAACAGTATTTTATTTAATTAACTATTTAGATGTAAAGTCCACAAGAACAAAAGAGCTGCCTATTTTGTTCCCTACTTTATCCTCAGTGCCTGGCAGAGCACCCTGCACACTACAAAAACTCAACAAATATTTGTTGAATGAATGGCCTGCAATGCACAAGAGTGTTTAGGACTGACAGTAAGGCCTTTACCAGAGTACACACTTAAAATGAAGGTAGACAGAGAAATCATACACAGATGACTGGGAAGGGTATCTGAACAAAGCAACATCAACAAAAGAAACAAATACAGCTTCTGCTCCGAAGATTACCATGTACCTGCTCCCAATCTGTTGTGGTCTTCAATAGGAAGAAATGAATCTAATCAGCCTTGCTCTGCGTACCAGACTATCACTCCATTTGGCCTGCCTGCCACTGGCTCGGCCTGCAGTGGGGGTTCTCAAAGTGTCTTCTATTTAGCCTAACATTAAAGAAATCTGCAAAAATGTAAAGCCACACCACTCTTCTCATGGATTTATTATTTTTATATCAGCTTGTAATTATTATTTAAAATGTGTCTGTCTCAATTTCTAATACAGTAAATATTGATAGATATAACCCATATAAACCCAGAGTGGAAAGAGGTCCCGAGACAAAAATAATTGAGAAATGGTGGACTACAGAAAGTTGTGCACAGCATCAAGATAAAATGGCCTCGCCCCTGCTGTTAGGTTCTGCACCTGCCTCCCGGTGTGCAATCCAGACAGGAGGATGCCTGAGAAGACCTAAGCTACTCCTTATTTCTCTTTTCTATTCTAGGCCTCTTGCAGACTGCCAAGAGAACCTTTCGAGTGTCAATTACACACACACACACACACACAGCCACCGCAATGACAAATCTAGCGTAAAATATGCCCAATTTAGAAAGCATAAAGAAAACC